AAAGAAAGAAAGAAAGAAAGAAAGAAAGAAAGAAAGAAAGAAAGAAAAGAAGAAAGGAAAAGAAGAAAAGAAGAAGAGAAAAGAAAAGAAAATGTCCTATAGGCTTGCCTATAGCCTGATCTTATGGAGACATTTTCTCAATTGACACTCTCTCTTCTGGTGACTTTAGCTTGGTGTCAAGTTGACATAAAACTAGCCAGAACATTGCATATATGAATACTAGTAAGCCTTCAAAATGAAATTCTAGTGCAGTTTACAATGTGGATGAACCTTGGGGACATGTTGCAAGGTGAAATAAGCCAGTTACAAGAAGGTAAGTTTTGAATGATTCTGTTTGTATGGGGTTTCTAAAGTAGCCAAAACCTTTTTGCATTGGAAGAGTAGAATGGTGGTTCCTGGGAGATAGGGAAGGCAGGCAGTTGGGGTTGTTTAATGGGTATGAAATTTCAATGTTGCAAAATGAGAAGTTGTGGAATCTGATCCCATAGTAACATGAACACACTGCTGTAGTTTGAATGGGTAACCCTCCCTCAAGTTCAAGAGTTGGGAATTTAACCCTCAAAGTCTTGTGTATTGGTATTTAAGGATAGAACATTTGTGAAGTAATTATGCCTAAAGGAAGTCAATAGGGGAAATTGCCACAGTGGCATTAGTGGCTTTATAAGAAGTGTTGGCCTGGAGAGATGGCTCTGGTGGGTGAAGTACCTACTACACAAACTGGAAGTTCTGAGTTCTGATCCCCAGAATTCACACAGGGCTAGATGTAGTAGCATGCGTCTGTAATCCCAGCACTTCCACAGTGGGACACATCTACCCATGGCAAAGAGAGCCTGTCTCAAACAAGGTTGACAGGTCAAGAACTACCGTAGAGGTCCTCTGACCTCCACACACGGTGTAACGAACCCACACTTTAGTTACACACATGAACATGCATGCAAACACACACGAAAGGAAGAGAGAGAGAGAGAGAGAGAGAGAGAGAGAGAGAGAGAGACAGAATGGCTGGGGCTCCAGCTTAGTTAGTAAAGTGCTCAGCGGGCATGAAGCCCTGATGTCCAGCACCAGGTACACCAGCTTGGCTGAGGTAAACTCAGCACTGGTGGAGGCAGGAAGATCAGAAGTTTAAATGTCAGCCTCTGCTACATATCAATTTCAAAGCTGAGGGGGCGGGGGGCAGTAGATGAAGAGATGAGCCCGCTTGCTATGCAGGGCCACGTGATGCTTTCTTGAGCATAGGTACCAGGAACACAAAGGCAATGTTTGAACTGCCCAACTTCCAGAAAGTGAACCTTGGCGCATGAAGGCTTGTGGTCAAAGATAAGACTGAGATGTTAGCAGCCTGGAGAGATGGCTCAGCGGTTAAGAACACTGTCTGCTCTTCCAGAGGTCCTGAGTTCAATTCCTAGCAACCACATGGTGGCTCACAATCATCTATAATGAGATCTGGTGTTTGCTGGTGTGCTGGTGTACACGCAGATAGAACATTCTACACATGATAAATAAACAAACAGATAGATAAATAAATAAATCTTTAAAAAAATATTACTCTTAGAAAACGAAAGACTGAGATGCCAGAAGACAGAGGCTCCTGGACCTGGGCTGGATTCACTGCAGCAGGGTGGCCAACAGGCATGATAGACTGTTTGCAGAAGAAACAGCCTGGCTCTGCTTTTTCTCAGAGGAAAGGTTTTGCTCTGTTCCATCTCACCGGCTGACAACAGACTGCTCTGTGTTGAGCATCAGCTCCACACAGTAGCCTTCCTTGACCTTCTCCAGCAAGGTGTTGGTTCCTCAGCCACCACCAGGCTTCCCTGGGGAAAAGTAACACCAAGATAATGGAGTGATTTGTAGATGCCTGTGAGCAACTGTAGAATCTTGAATCATTTACCCAAGACTAAGGAATAAATTAGGGGTGGTTTTCTTTTAAAATATTTCATTTTGATGTTTCTATATTGAATTTTTTTAGGTATTTTTTTTTTTTACATAGGGTCTATCTAGCTCTGGCTAGCCTGGAAGTAGCTATGTAGATCTGGGTTGTCTTAAACTCATAGAGTAACCTGGCTCTGCCTCCCAAGTGCTGAAACTAAAGGCGTGTGCCATCATGACTGGATAAGATTTGTGTATTTTTATTTTATGTGTATGGGTGTTTTCCTCTGTCTGTGTGTGTGTGTCTGTGTGTGTGTGTGTGTGTGTGTGTGTGTGTGTGTACTACATGAGCAATGGTACCCACGTAAACCAGACAAGAGCATCAGATCCTGCTAAACCGCAGCTATGGTTGTGAGCCTCCTCCTAGGTGCTGAGAACTGAGCTCTAGTTCTCTGCAAAATGAATATGCACTCTTTAACTACTGGGCCATCTCTCCAGCCCACTCCCTACTTCCCTGATTTTTAATGTACCAACTATATCAGAATTTTTATCTGCTAGTAGACTTCAACTACCATCCCTCTATTACTAATTCCCAAATCTGAGTGAGTTAATTTGGAACTCTCTCCTTAAAGCTCACAAAAGTGCTTTCAGCTCAGCACATCCAAGAGTGAACTCTACATCTCTCCCTGTAACAAAGTCTCTCTCCTTTCATTCCGCTGATGCCCTGGCTACACAGGCATGACACAGCCTCTGGTCCCTCAGGGATTAAATAAATTGTCAAGTCTTCTAGTCACATCTCCTGCTTAATCCAACTCTCAAGAATGACCTCAAATCACCCCATGGGAACCATATCTTTATTTTTCCAGCCAGACAGGAGTCCTGAAGGAGGGATCAAGGAGAATAGAAAGCACACTGAAAGAAGTCATAACTAAAGCATTTCCATACATTACGAAACCCAGAAACCCACAGATCTGAGACCATCAGTGAACTCCAAGCACAGGAAACATTTAAGACCACAAAACCAACCTAAAGGGACATCTCAACACACTGACGGAAATCAGTACTACGAAATGTTTGAATTGCTCAA